AGAAATAAACTTCTACAAATCATCACTAATGTTTCAGATTAATGTGCTACACTAATTAATGATGCAGTCCTTGAGGACTTACCACCATGTGCATCGCTCAGGAAATATTCAACAAGTAAGTCATCGAGCACTCAGCGATATGCTTGGCAGTATACAAGAAGCCATCCTTGGCTTCCAGAGAATGAGAGATCCAGACAATGAAGGGGAAGAGCGCAGCGCAGCATGACGAAGAGTGGTGACAGTGATGGACCCAGATGGCATGGCGTGTGGTGGGGCCACCTCACCAGCTGGTGAAGTCAGCATTGTGTCAAGACTTCACTCCGCCTTCTTTCGGAAGCCCTCCCTAGCTTCGCAAGTTTACCTCCAGAGTCCCTCACATAGGAGGCAGAGCGTGGGGAAGAGTTCTCCAAAGCGATAGCAGTCAGGGCTCGCAGCACGAGTAGGCCCAGCCTCTCACTTCCAGCCGCTCGGCTTGGTCGGCATAAATACTAGAAGAAGGGATGCTGAGAGAAGCAAGGATCACTCGTGGGAACCAGAACAATACCGGAAGAAGGGGAGGGTTTATCTCCAGCGCTGCGTGATTGTGGAGATGAGAGGAGAGAGGGGTGAGCGGTAGAGTGCGCTATTGGCTCCTTGAAAACATTACTATGCTGAGCTGGGGGCCACACCATGGTCAGGACTGAGCTGGAGGAAGTGTGATCAGGGGCTGGCCACTACCGTAATTCAGGAAACCGCTGAGAGTAATTACAGCTACAGAGGTTTGACCATATCTTACTCTAAGCATAGCATCTCCTTTTGTTTGTTTGTTCATTTTGGGAACTGGTACTTATGCTTATTGCATCTTAATCATCTTTACTGCCACTTTCTCTCTCTGCTCTCCTATCTCTCTCTTTCCCCAGATCCCCCTTCCATGTTCACAAAGTCTACCTCTCTCCTATCATCTGTCTTTTATTTTGCTCTTTAAATTATTTATAGTGGGATTTTCATACAAGACAAACTGTATGTTATTTAACTTTCTGTGTCTGACTTACTTCATTTAGCATATGGTCTCAAGGTGCATCTGTTTTCCTACAAATGACTTAAATTATCCTTCTTTATGACTGAATAGTACTCCACCGTGTATACACAATCTATTTTCTAGTCCTCTGTTGGTTGGCTTTTATAGGCTGCTTCCAAGATGTAGCTATTACAAGTTTAAGCACAGTATCTTAAGCATTTTACATATATTACCTATTTTAACTAATTGTCAACCTATGTTGGCCCAATTATTATCCCCATATTAAAGATTAAGAGACTCACCACTGAAATGTTAACTAAATTGTTGAACTTCACTCTGACCTCCCAGAATTACTAATTCTAGAACTCACGCCTATGGCTGTGAGCAGTGGTACACTGTTGTGCACAGAAGCAGGGAACCAAGAGAGTAGGAATGGAGAGATGCAGGTAAAAATGAGCAAAGCCAAAAGAGGCAAAAGACTAGGTGGAGTCCGGACCGAGGAACATCAGGATGAAACTCAGTTTCCGGGCCTGACAATGGGCAAGGAGGCTGCAGCAACGACTGTACTTATGCTTGGCACTGACACATTATCCAAAATATTGGTGTCTTAAAGCAGCATCAGCCCAACCTCTCAGAGCCCTAGAGAACAGAAGTTCAACGTCACAGTGATGGCAGCGTGGATTTCTTCTGGAGGCTTGGAGGAGAAAACATTCAAGGCCTCTCTCCTCCTGCTGGAGTCAACAGCAGCTCTTGGCCAAACTTTCGGTCTCTATCTCCATCCTCACCTAGTTTTCTCCCTTTATCTTTTCTTATAAAGACTTCTTGGGACCAGGGATTTAACTCAGTGGTTCTGCCACCTGTCTTACAAGCACAAGGACCTGAGTTTGATCCCCGATACCAAAAAAAAAAAAAAAAAAAAAAA